CATTTTACATTGGAAGACAACCCCCCATTAACAAGAGCCTGCTGCATGCAGGTCCTGGCGGCGCTGCTGATTTCGCTGGTCCACCTGGGCATCGGCACCACCTACGGGTTCTCGGGAGTGATGCTGCCCGAGCTCACCGACCAGGGCGAAAGCGACCTCTTCCTCAACGAATCACAGGCAGCGTTTTTTAGTATGTAACATTTACAAAGCTCGTAAAGAAAACGCTTATCATCACTGACATAAAACATATGATTGGTATTATATGCGTGATTCAGATATCAAATAACATGCTAATATTATCGAAAGTTATAACAGTTCGCGTATATGAAGAAATAAATGTAATATATATACATATACGTATATATATATATATATATATATATATATATATATATATATATATATATATATATATATATATATGTGTGTGTGTGTGTGTGTGTGTGTGTGTGTGTGTGTGTGCGCGCGCGCGCGCGCGCGCGCGTGTGTGTGTGTGTGTGTAAAGAGAGAAAGATAAAGAGAGAGAGAGTAAAAGACACACACACACACACATGTATAAGTAGAGAGACAGATAGATGTAAGTTTATTTTTGTGTAGTTGCATATTTACATTTATTGGGTAGGACCCCTCGCAATTTTAATAAACCTTGCGAAATCACTGTTTAACTTTCATACTTTTTATCAACACCACGCCACAGTTATAGTGAGTGTTGACTACTTTTGAGGAGGATCGTCTGGCAGGAAGAGGTTTGACTTTAAAATAAAAATGATCGTATCCTCACTTCATTAAAAACGCCTTGAAGGTTCCACGAGGGCAATTCATATCAAGTTGACTACTTGCCGTCACTGTTCAGTATAGTAAGATGTAAACATAAATTGGTCTATTACAAGTCTCCTTATACTGTTCATAGTGAACAGCTAATATATCAGCTCTCCACTAAAGGTGGAAATCAGTACTACCACCTTCCAAATATGTAAAGTTGTGAGTTACTGTAAAGTTTAGGTTCCAACAGGGAAGCTAATTGCAGACATATACACATATATATCTGCATATATTTTATTTACTTTTTATATATGTTCTACATATATTGTATTTACTTTTTATTTATGTTACTTATATGAATTGCTTGACCGAGCAACCATAGATATCAGAAACAATCTTCGCAATTCGCATGTAAATGAACAATAGTATAGGCATGATAAATTATGTATTAGTGAAGCCTTATAATTAGACTAGCACGTGTAGTAATAAAGGTAATGTATTATACATTAGAAATATCTAACATCTCCCTATACCTTTCCTTCCAGGCAGTCTGTCAGATCTTGGAGGTTTCTTCGGCTCTGTCCTCAGCATGGTGTTGTTGATGAGGCTTGGACACCGCATGCTACTGCTTCTTGGTCTTCCCATCAGCACTTGTGCTTGGCTCGGTCTTGCATTTGCACAAACCCCGGCGATATTGCAGACCATGCGATTCATTGTGGGTTTAACCGGAAGCTTCACGTTACCCGCCGGAAATATGTATATTCTAGAAGTTTCTCACAAGACGCTTCGTGGCCTCCTGTTCGGCTTAGTGACAACCAGTCGGCAAGCGGGGGTTCTTCTCGTATATGCTATAGGCAGTTTAGGGTTGGGATGGCGCACCACAGCACTCATATGCGCCGGGGTTGCCATCCTTCCCGTCGTTGGCCTTCTGTTCTTGCCCAATTCACCACGGTGGCTGATTACCCAGGGTCTTCTCGCTGAGGCTCAGAAGTCACTGACCTTTTACAGAGGCGCTCTTTATGATTCAAAGCCCGAAATGAAGGCCATCACGGACCAAGTAGGAGAAAATGGTCCAGAAAAGAATAGTATAAGGGCCCAGTTAAGGATAATGACCGAACCATCCACTCTGAAAACCTTCCTTTTACTTCTCTTTATATCTCTGCTTTACAATTTCAGTGGTTATAACGTGCTGATAGCTTATATCGTACCAATCTTACAATCAGCTAATATAAATATGGACGCTTACGTGAGTGCCATGTTGATTGGCGCCGTTAGGGTAGCGGGCACAGTTGTCCATCTTATTGTAGTGGATCGAATGGGTCGAAAACCGTTACTAGTATCGTCGTACGTATCGTGTGCCCTTTGCATAGCATGTCTAGGAGGTTATTTCTACTTTCAAAGTACTTCTGCATACGTAAATTACTTCGGCTGGGTCCCTCTGACCTCCCTTGTTATTTTTGTCTTCTTCACCGGCGTGGGTCAGCCTGTAATTTTCATCCTACAAGGAGAACTGCTTCCTACTTCCTTCCGCGCAACAGGAGTGTCCTTAATCCTTTGTCTCGTCTTCCTAGGGAGCTTCGTAGCTATTAGGACGTATTCCTTGGCCTCAGCTTTTATGGGGGAGCATGGAACGTTCTGGTTATATGGTGGTGTTTGTTTCGTTATTGCTCTGGTAAGTGCTTTTAGTTTGCCAGAGACTCGAGGTCGTTCCCTTGAGGAAATCACGCAGAGAAAGTAGGAAAGCGGACAGACTAATCGTATATTTTCACTATTTTCTTTTAATTAGGCACTTACTGTACCGTTTATTCCTGGTCGATGTTTTAATAGCCTTCCGTATACAATACTCGCCCCATTCCCTATGACAAGTACATATTCACCAAAGCTTTCCTCAAATTCCAATTCAGTATCTCACCTTTAACCATCGCATCGCGCGCGCGCGCGAGCCTGTGTGTGTTTGTTATTCCTAACACATTCATGTTCAGGTTCTTAAGGACCACAAAAACGGTACTCGCGAAAAAGACCGTAAAAATCTTGGCAAATGGGTATGTCCTCCAATATAATATACTATTCTATGTTTATGCATTAATCTTAATTTCACGATCTGTTCTTCCCCATTGTCTCTAAGCTCTGACTATCTTTCTAGGAGTGGTAATACTAGCTTGACTACCTACAGTTGGCATTTATACTAATATAATTTTCGTGCGCCTGTTTTAGAAAAGTCTCGGTAATGTAAGTATTGTTATGGCGGCTGCTTGTTCAATTATGCGTTAGAATCTTGTGTTATTTATCATGTCTGCGATCTTTCGTATCATTTAGGCAGTAGCTTGCCTTTACTACAGATTTATTTACTGCACTTCTGTAAACGAAATCATCAAACCGAGATTGTTGTTAAGTACGAAATGTAACGAGAGAATCTATATCGATGAATTATGCATCTGCAAGACGACAATTTATTCTGCTTCTTCTTCGCTAAATCAACCTTTCATGCAGTGGCATTGGCACTGAATTTTCGTTTTCTTTAGTATTACTTTCATTCTATTTGTGAACAATTTTTACTCTGATTTCAAAGGACTTGCTTTGCGTGTCCATTAAGGCTTTTTGAGTAGCATGTTGGTTATAATGAGGAATTAGCCAAAGGAAGTTATTGTCAGCTATTTAATGGGTACTAAGTTTGTTCGGTGTAGTTTTAAGCTATTATTTTTATTCATGGAAAAATTTCTGTCGCGTCAACATCTAAGATCATTAGCAGCGTAAAATATAGCGATAGGATGGGGCTTGGGAGCGAAGCCCTCCGATTAAGGATCTTTTTTGTTCATAAGGCGATGATTGTGGACTACCAGAGTGGTTTATGGTTAAAATAAATAAATGTGCTAGGCACCAAAGGTCATACATATACCATTATGATAATAATAATAAAAAAAAAACTGGCGAAAGAGTGAAACTGAGTTGCCGATTAGGATAAGTGGACAGAAGTGGATGAAGAGAAGCAAAAGGAAAGGGGGAGAAGAAGAGATGCAAAATAGCTGAGGCGAGGGCCGAGGTCCAAGGCAGGGGTGATCACCTACTTTGGGCCTCAGTCACCTAAGGTGGATAAGGTTTGGTATTAAAAGGGAACCCTGTGCGTGAACGTGTGTATGTCGTCCAATCCAGGCATGTTGATATATGTGGTTCATGTCACGAATAGATGTAAGGACTTCTTCGCATAGTTTGCTTGAGATTACTGCGTCAGATGAACGCATGGTTTTGAAATCTAACTTTCTCTGCGCATGACATCAAGGCAGGAATCTGTGATGACTGCAAGCCTCACTCACTGCGGTTAACGTCAGTGTAAGCGACTCATTTACCAGGGATATTAATGTGAAGGATGAAAAAGGTAGAGGCTACACACAGCTACCTACAAAATATTGTAGATTTATATTCATTTCGATGTTTCATATATCTTTTCTTTTCTCCATTTTATAATCGTTATTATTTTTTCAACTGTTTTCATATCAGATGCCATTTTTACATTTACTCTAATCATTTATATCTAAAAAAAAGTATGGGAGTGAAAGAAATCAGCTGTTTACTTCCTCTTCTGGAGACTGACAATACTCAATTCTGACCTGTATATTTGTAAAGATCAATATATATATATATATATATATATATATATATATATATATATATATATATATATATTTATATAATTTTTCTTTCTTTTTTGTATACTGACGATAGACTTATATTCACTTTTTTAAAAATTCAAAGCATATTTGTAACTTTATCTTGAGGAATAAAGAGTTTAGTTGTGATGAAGTCATAATGCTGTTTATACTCGTATATTTCTTATTATATGAAAATAAAGGTATTTGCAGGTTCGATTCTGTCTGCTGATTAATCACTGTGTAAATAATTCATTTCAACCATTCATTCAGCTACCCCAGTTGAAATTTAAAGATCAGAATGTCAAAAATAGAACTTGTATTTTCTCTAAATCAGTACCAAAGCAAATAAGATTCACATACACACACAAATATATCCACGCACGTGCATGCATGTATATGTGCAGTAATGAAGTCATCTCACACTCACACACACACATATACACACACATAGACATATATACATATACTTATATATATATATATATATATATATATATATATATATATATATATATATATATATATATATATATATATATGTGTGTGTGTGTATACGTATGTGTATATAATATACATACGTATACATATATATATATATATATATATATATATATATATATATATATATATATATATATATACACACACACACATATATATATATATATATATATATATATATATACACACACACATATATATATATATATATATATATATATATATATATATATATATATATATATATATATGTATATATGTATATATATGTATATATACATATATATATATATGTATATATATGTATATATATATATATATATATATATATATATATATATATATATATATATATATATATACATATATATATACATACATATATATATATATATATATATATATATATATATATATATATATATATATATATATATATATATATATATATATATACGTTTCTAACCAAGAATAGGTAAATGGGTGAACAAGTGCGAAATTAAACAAATATGCAACAAAATCCAGAACAAGAACAACAAAGTCTGAATTACAACCTGGTAAAGGAAACAAGAGAGAGAGAGAGAGAGAGAGAGAGAGAGAGAGAGAGAGAGAGAGAGAGAGAGAGAGAGAGAGAGAGAGAGAGAGAGAGAGAGAGTGAATTCCTTATAATCTCAACATTTCTTGTAAACATTTTATGACATCGAAGGGTGTATGTATAACCGACTCCCATGACGTTATTCAGAAAACACGTTCCAGACATGTGCAAAAGTTATTCCAGTTCCAGGTAATTAGTAAACATGGAATCAATGTTCCCATGAAAAAAGAAAAAAAGGAAAAGAAAAGAAAGTAGGAGAAAGAAAGCAGAAGAAAAAGAAAAAGAAAAAGCTGGAACATTTTAACAGGGAAAAACTATGTACAGTACAGTTTCATTCAGGCTTTTACATTAAAGTGACATGTTTATGCTTTCACTTCGCTTCTCAGCGGTTTGCTTTGCTTTATTAAATTTGGTGTAAATTGATGGAAAAACTAGAATAAGTATAAAATTCAAAATATGAAATTTGCAAAAAGAACCTAGAGATAATTACAAAAAAGTAAACACACACATACACACACACACACACACACGCGCGCACACTCACACGCACACACACACACACACACAGAGGTAAGACTATACGGAACTATGTACACAGGCACGTACCCAATATAATATTACTGAATACTGCTGCTTAAGCTACATTCCATGAGAATATTGGGAAAATTTGAGTATTAAGAAGTATTTTCCTAAGATACATATTTATCATTTATTAGAAATTCAAACGATACCAGCGATAATGTTCTTATATAAAGATAAAATATTTTTGCTGTCGGAAATTAAGAAAACGGTATGAAATAGAATTGGCAATAAATAAATATAATAAAATATCCACCAACCTGTAGTCAAAGTGCCTCGCATAAGGTACTTCAACAGAGGTATTATTAACAAGAGGCGCAACCTCATAAGATACTGTTATCCTCACCGTGCGAGATTTCTTTCGTCCACAAAAACCGTGACGACACATATCTAACAGTCCACGGAATCTTAGCAGACTGGGGTCAAGTTAACTACAAGCACACTGTTACTGTATGTGATATGATCTGCCACCTGCCGGCTGGTTTAATCTAGTTTGGTTAAAGTCTTGCCATGGAACACCATGAGGTTATAGTTAAGTTTACATTTAAGGAAACCACGCAGGTTGTTCTAGATTTTTTTTTCACCAATGCTATTATTCTAGCTCATAGTTTTATTTATACGTTGATAAAATCCATACCTAATTGATAAAGGTTTCCGTTTTTTGAGCAGTAATCCCGTTGAACCATTATTACTGGCATGCTGATCACGCAAAGGTTCCGTGATCGGCTTCCTATGAAAGACATTGATAGAGGCAAATTTGTTCAGGCTGGAAATCTGTAAGAAAATATTCGTCTGAAGAGATTTCTATATCAGAAAAAAAGAACTGTGATTCTTATTTCTAAAGATTTTTTCATTGTTTTATTTATTTATTATTTTTTTACGATAATTGCCTCTCGGCGTTAGTTCTTCCGCTTCAGAAATATTGTAGCAAAAATATGAGCGAGTTAGCATGCAGCCATATTTTGATGAAATCGGTTATTTTATAGGTCTAATTCACATTTCCATCCAGATGTATTTTTGCATCATAAAATGTGAGTCATTGTCAATTATGATGAATTCCCTATTAACAGTTAAGGATTTTTTTCTGTGCCTATCCTGTAATATATTAGTTTCCTAGGTACGTTCATTAAAGATTTCCCCTGCCTACTTCCGCGGGAAGCTATCAAAACCTAAAACTGATATCTTAAATCACTTCATGGCTTCAAATGCAACCTGTGGTCTTCTGTTACAGCTACATAAAATAAAGGGAGAAGTGTGTCACTCTAAGTGGAACCTACGTAGAGAAATAAGAATAGACCAATAACTGTACGACCTTTCATTCCTGTGCGGAAGTGGGTCAGGGGATATATTTAATAAGCACCTCACGTACATCAAGAACAAATTCACTTAAGATAGCTTCCATTTCATAGGCTTAAA